GTTCAAGATTAGTATTTGAACTCCCAACAAGTAAGTCACCGGCGGTGGAGCAAGATCTTAGGCAAAGAGAGAGATTAGGAGAGGTAAGCTCCACTTTTTTATGATATAAAAAGTAATCTCCACTAGTAATAAAGATTATCCTTTCAAAGTATTAAAAATAAATGGTAGCCTTTTCTTTCAATTAAGTTGCGAAGGATTGGGATTTGAACTCTCAATCAGTTGCTTAAACAACCAATGATGGATTCAAGATTCTACTTTTTCTATCCGTATATATAAAATAATTTTAATCAAATTACGTAAATTAATAAAAATTAGTTATTTAATTAAAAATATGGCAATATTTTAATTTTATTCTTAATTATTGTAAATAAAAAATGAATATTATTTTTTAAAGTAAATTAATAAGAATATTTATTTTTTATTTTTAATTTAATAAAGATATAACAATTTATTTATTAAAAAATATATTAACAATTTTTTATGTTCAAGAATCTAAAAAAATTTTAAAAAATCTCTTATACTCAGAGACGGAGTATGCTTGGAGGCAAATTCATTCACGTAATAATCGCCATAGAGAGGGGGGGGGGGGGGCGAGAGAGAGAGATTGGGAGAGGTGGGCTGCACTTTCTTTCTTGGAAAATTTGTGAGGGGAGATTTCTGCCTCTAATAATTACTCTGCTTTGTAACTAGATGAGAGAAATTAATTTCCTTCAATGTCTTTCTATGGCAGGAGATACTTATAGAGATTTCCTTTGATGATATGTTGTCTTTGTAGATTTGATTTTTGGGAGAAGGAAAGTTTGGTCCCATAAAATAAAATTAATGATAGTTAAATTTTTGATAAAATTTTTTAAAAAATAAAATATAAATATTAATTTAAATAATTAAAACAGAAATTATTCTTATAACTTAAGTGTTGCATTTAATATTTAAATATTTATTTACAATTAAAAATCTTAAATTTGTAATTATTGAGTTGATGTTTTTAGCTTATTTTTTAAAAGATTTTGTTGAGAATTTAATTGTTATTACTTTAATATTATGAGACCTAACTATTACTCTTCCTTGAATTTTTTAGGTTACGAAAAGTTTATGTGAGTTAAATTTTAAGAAATTATTAGAATCAAGGCATATATTTTGGCTTAAAAGCAATTACCTATAAATAAAGTATTTATATTGATAATGACATTTGAATACACAATCTTAAAAGTTATGAACTAAATCTTTACCAACTTAATTTGGTTGGATTTAATTTCTTTGTTTTTTTTTTTGGGTTATTGGTGTTTATGTCTTGAACATTATTGAATTAGCGAATCATACAACTCCTACAAGTACAACCAGCATTACTGAACCAGTGATAACTAGTTAACCGGTTCATTCGGTCATAGTCAAACTAGTGAATTGTAAACTCAACTTTATAAGGAAAATATAATTTTTGATTTCTATAATTATATCAAATTTTACTTTAAATCTTTATAATTTTTTTAATATTTTCAATTCTTGTAAGAATTAAAACTATTAAAAAATAAAAATTACAGGGATTTGAAAAATAAAAATTACCCAATCTTTTTGAAACTAAACTAAAAACATTAAAAAAAAACTATAAAGATTAAAAGAAACTCATAAAATTATAAAACCAAACATTGTGTTTTTTCAGTTTTATATTTATACAAGATATAGAAATAACAATGTTTTTCAGCTAATTTTAAATTTTTTAAAAATAATAATTAAAGAGAAATAATAAAAATAGGCATGTTAATAAAACATCACCACCACTGTACGATGGTTGGAACTGGAACAGTACTGTTTGTTTCACCATAAATTTAACAGGTCTCTCTTACTTTTTTGACAGTGAACGTTGCCACAACAAAGCATAGATATTGTTTTTTTTTTTTGACATGAAACAAAGCATAGATATCGAAATCAAGTGATTCAGTTTAAAATTGTCACTCATCACTACAAATTTCAAATTAGATATTTTTGATATATATATTTTTTAATTCTATTTATAAATTATTTTTATCATAATTTATTAACATGAAAGAAAATTTTGAACTTCATTAATTTTATTTTAAAATTCAATAAATTTTCACTTCTATCTCATAATAAAGACAGAAAAAAACTATTTTTAATAATTTTTTTATAATTTAATAAAGGTATAAAAATAAAATGAATATAAAAAATAATAAAGTGCCTTATAAATAAGATTAAATTAAAATTAATATTTTTAACCCTATAATTAGGATCATAGGAGTATATCAATATTGAAATTATATATATTGTTAGTGAATGGATATGTGGATCTTCTCACCTAATTGCAATGGTAATATGACAATATTAGGGCAAATTAATTAAATTATCCATCAAAGCTATGAAACAAAACCCTACACCCCAATTATTTTTTTAAGGTTTATGTCTTCAACGTGATTTTAGACGCTGCACCCTTGTTCTCTCGTTGATTTTTATAATAATAATAATAATAATAATAATAATATATTTGATTTGATGGTGCAAGCCGCCTTGAAGAAAACTAAATAAAAAACTTAAAAAGAGTGGCGTGGATGGACGACGGCCACTAATAAATTAGTTATTAATTATTAATAGTATTATTATTATTTTATTAAATGGAATCAATGTTGAATGATCCACTCACAAGAAGGAGGAGCTATCATTGTTTTTAATGAAATTCTTTTGCCTCACAAAAGTCCAAAAGTGTGCGATGTCTTACGTTTATATATAGTTATGCTTTATGGTCTTCTTTAGGTCTTCTTGCAACTTGCAATCTCTATTACCTTCTTCTTGACAACCAAGAAATGTAGATCATGTGGCCCTCACCTAATTTTTTTCGCCGCATTCACCCTTTTATACCTTTTACTTTTAGGGAAATTAGTGTAGATCTCATCAAACCTCACACACATGCATGGGGGAAAAATTGAAAACTACCTAAAACATAGGGGCTAAACTAATTTTTCATATTTTTTACAAACAAAATTAAAAGAACGACGAAGGATTAGTGAAATTGTGGGTGTACATTCGTCCCCGGATCTCATCTAATGAGCTGTATTGACTCTGAAAAATGAGTAGTATTATTTATATGAATGATCTAATTTATTAAATGTTTTATATTATACATTTGAAATTAGTATAATTAAGTGAAAAAGGTAAAGTGAAAAAGGTATAGATAGAGGTTGACGGTAATACTGATCCTACACGGTAAATGTTTGAATTAGTTTGGCAGGTGGTGTTAATGCCTTAAGTTTTTCAAAATACTAGGTAATGGAATAAAAAAAAAAAAAAGAGGTTCACAGTTCAAACTCATTTAATGTATTTTTCTTAAAAATATATATTATATAGATATGAATTGTATTATTACTTCATATAATTAACTCAATTTTAAATTTTATTTGATAATTTGATTTTTCACGCACTTTTGAATTTAAATAATTTAAAATTAATCCTGGTCGTCATTTTTAGAGAATATTTGACAACATATCTTAGCTAATTTTAATTTATTTCCTACACTTTCATAACTCATTTTTTGGGTAAATATACTTTTTTATATATCGTTTTTGTGTTATTGAATATATATATATATATATATATTTATTTGAGAGTAATAACATGGTAAATGGTTATTTACGGTTGAATTTTAATCACTGCAAAAGTCACAGGCCAATTCATTTTAATTTAACCTAAGGTCACAATACGAAGACACACATTTTAACTTAAAATTCGAAAGATAATTTTACTAGACGGTTTAAAATTTTTGTCCACTTAAATCATTTGTAATGCTTTCAATTTCAAACATATATGAATATAGGGGTGTTCATGAAACAGGATGGAACTGAGACATTCCTGTCCTGTATCCGATTCTAAAAAAAATTAAGACTGAATTTTCATCTCATATCCCATCTTGTCTTGTTATGAGTCGGGACGAGATTTGAACAAGATCGAGACGGCAATAAATTGGACAATATTGAAAAAAAATCTAGATAATAATATTCATTAAAATTTTAAATCATATAATTTATTAAGTTTAAAATTAACACAATACAAGTATATAAATTACAAGAATTTAAACTCAACTATTGAATTACATTAATCACAACTACATATTATAATAGCAATTATAAGTAATCTCTAAGCTATAAAAGCAGTACCAATTAGAGCTCGTAATTTGAGAGGGTTGGGTTTATCCAAGTCAATTCAATTCGGGTTAGGCTTGGAGTATCCTAATATCTTACAAAAGCCCATATAAAAAAAGCCTGGTCCTAATTTTTTTTTTTCAGCCAATCAAGCTAACCTGTAAGGCTTGGCTAAAATTATCAACTTTATATATATATGGAGCTGAAAATTTTGGTGGTCAGACTCAATTCAAGCCAGGCTTAAGATATCTTACCCCTTTAAAAAAGCTCAATGGCCAAGCCCAACCTTAACTTTTTTTGGGCATGTTCAAGATGGTTTATCGGGCTTGGTTCAAATTACTGACTCTAACAGCAACAGGCCAATCAAGTACAATATCAAATTATTATTCTTTTACTTTAGTTGAAATGTGCCATACTCATTACTCTTCTCAAAATAAAACAAGAATAACGATATAAATAAAAGTTATTAAATAGATAGATAAAATAATAAATTATATTAATATAATTAGTATATTATAAAAAATATCACCCTATTTACTTTATGTAATTAAAATTATTAATATAAAAAATTTTAAGATAATTAATATATTTAATATATATTTTTAAAATAAAAAATTATATATACATATATATATATGATATTTGAAATGCGATGGGATATTTTAATAGTAATCTTGTATTCTTTTTTTTTTTCAAACTCTTTTTCTATTTTATCCTGTATAATTCTATTTTAAAATATGATCAAGATAATATTAAACTAATGAAAATAAATTCAAACTGACACTCCTATGTAAATATATGGTAGAAGTAATTATCCTTTGTTTTCCTATTAATATCAGCCTTTTTATGGTCTTCTCCTTGACTTCTCTTCTTCTTCTTCTTCTCTCTCCCACATTCTTCTCCTGGTTTTCTTGATCTGCTTCTCTCTCTTGTCTCTCTGAACTTATGGAAACGAGCAGAGCTGAGGGAAAGCGGAGCTCGAGGCACAGGGAGGAGGAAGACGAAGACGAAGAAGTAGAAGAAGACGATGAAGAAGAGACAGAGAGTGAACTTGGCTCTGGAGAAGAACATGGAAGAAAGAGAAGGGTTATAACAAATACATACAGCAAGAGAGGCCCCAAACCAGGAAGCTCGTCGTCGGCGCCGCCACCGTCTTGTCAGGCCGATGATTGCCACACTGATCTGAGCACCGCGAAACCGTATCACCGGCGACACAAGGTCTGTGAGTACCACGCCAAAGCTCCGGCCGTACTCATTTCAGGGCATGAGCAACGCTTTTGCCAGCAATGCAGCAGGTAGAGAAACCCTAATCTTCTCTTATACTTGTTGCTTTCTTTTTTTTGGTCTTCAAGATATATCTTGAAAGATCCAAGAGGTTGGATTCAGAGTTTTCAATTACTTCTCACCCCAGTTCAATAATGATGGACTCGTCTCTGAAATTATAAGATCTGAATTTGAATCTCACTCAGAATCTACGCAAACCAAAAGTTGTCTCTGTGACTGAAGATACATGAGAAAGTGTTGCACAACGCTGTTAAATACTTTTATGGGGTCATGGAAATTACTGCAATTTATTGTGGTTGAAATTGAAATCGGATTCTTACTGAGGTAAATTCAATGTGTGGGTAAGTGTAATGTTTAGATTTAAACTATATAATTGGATAAGTACAAGTTGAAGAAACAATAATTTGGATTTGTTGATAGTTTGAATACTTGGACTTCACTTTCTTTTGAGAATGAACTTCAAGTCACATGTATAGAAGAGTTATATATGTGTACAATTAAATATTTCGAGTGTTGGGTACCAGCCCATTTTAATTGACTTTCAATTCTTGTGAAAAAGAAAATCATTCAAGGAAACAGACTCTTCAATTTGAAACACATCTTGTGTTGTAATGGATCGTCTTGCATAGTCCAAATACCCTGCATTCAGAAAAGTGAATATAAAGGACATATTTGGAAAGAGATAAAAACAGAAAAATAGATGGGTATGGTTATAAAATATATATCATATATACATGCACATTCTCTCTTGTGTCACTCTTATTCTTTGAATGTATGAAAAACAAATAATGAGGATCCAATTTATACTCTATATTGAAAAGTCTACAGATTCATTTTTTTTTTTTTAGTATAGAAGACACTATCATCTCGAGAAATAGAGATTCAAACTGAGAGGAGTCTTCCTTTTGTTCTTCATAAATGTCTATTTATGGTGAAAGATACTTCTAATTCTACAAAAAAAAGAAACTCAAGATGTTATATATAGTTTCTGTTTATGGAATTCGGTGCATAATTCTTGATTTAAGGCCATGTAGTTATCAACAAATTTCATGTTTTCTTAGAAGCCTATGCATTTGCCAACATAAAAAATGTTCTTATGGGTTTTCAAAAAAATATATGGTACTCATAATTTGGCACAATGGTTCACTCTATGATGTGGATTTTGAAACGACGACTTAAATAGAATACAACAGATACATTTCTGTGAAAACTCTACTGTTCATATGCTTTTCTCTATTTTCATCCTCAAGTGTGTGGGTCATATACATATGTTCAGTTCTCTCTTTTCTCCATAATAGGCAAGTCTTTACTTGGATCAATCAAACTTAAGTTATAAAAAAATGTCATTTATATATGTTGAGTCAATTCATCTGGGCCCTGAGATAAACACATGACTCTATACTTCTTTGCTGAAGGAGCGTAGTGTTATACAAGGAGAAAAAAAATAAATGCATGGGATCCATGTGCTTATATCTCTTCTTGAAGCCCCTGCTCCAGAGTTACTCGCTCCATTCAGTATTATAAGACATTTTTAGCTGAATTACATCCCAATGAATTTGTTGTTTGTCTTTAAAATTACACACTATTCTCATATTTATCTTTATTTAAGTCTCAATCAGAAAATCTTATTGATTAACCCCTAATTGATTAAAGGTATTTAAAAAAAAACTTATTAATTATACTTTGTATTGAAAGACTCAAAATGTCTTATATTTTTTAACATAATACTTTGAAAAAATATCTTAATATTGAATGGAGAGAGTAACTCATTTGGACCTAGTTTGTTAAAATAGAGTATAAGTTAAATGGATTAAAATTCATTTTTTAATCATTGTCAGCAAGTGAGCAAGATTTATTTGATGCTTCCAGAACCCCTCCATTTCTTCACAATTCTTTTTCCTCCGCTTCCCTAATCATTATCATTTATCAAATCCATGACTAAAATACATTAACCTAATGTAGTGATGTCAATAGTTTTGATCAGGGAAGTGGAGGAAAACTGATGATAAGAAAATGAAGAGATTCGTCGTCCTAATTTGATAGTCTCAGTCTATTGTGACAGTTTTGTACTTATTATATTTACTCAAAATCAACATTTCTTTAAAGAGAAAATAGAAAAAAGAAGAATCATTATAACTATAGTGAAAACTGCCAGCTAGAATAAGCTCAGGTATCATCAACTTTTGGCACAAGATTTTGCAATCTAAATCTGAAATCTATCACCTTTTGATCCTGTCCATGGATATTAATTTCTCTTAATTAATGTGTTGTAATTTTTACAGGTTTCATGAGCTTTCAGAGTTTGACAACTCAAAACGGAGTTGTAGAAGGCGTTTGGCTGGGCATAATGAGAGACGTCGAAAGGTTGCATCAGATTGTCAAGGAGAAGGCTATCATTAATTAATTAATTAATTAATTAATTAAAATCTCAATAGTTATATTAATCGATCGAGATAAACTCTTCCATGAAACAACCACCATATTGGAATTTATGTTATTTTTCTCTTGGGATGCTCTCTCTCTTCTGTCAATTATATTTTTTAACTAGAGCTTTGCAAGAAGCATATTTTCATAGAGTCAATTTAATAATGCTTGAACATTATCTTCTTCGTAGTTATTTGATTTAGACTAAACTATTTTCAGTATATATACTTTTTGTCGACTAGATTGTCCATATATCTAATGCAATGCACAAAAATCTAATGAGTCATAATATTCATGACTTATGTTGACCATGGCTTCTTTATATATATATGTATGTATATTTATTGACGATGATGATACTAATTTTTTAATGTCAGCCATACCTTTTATAAATGTTACGGCTTGTTATAAATTTTATATTTTATATTGATTTATTATTTAGACAGCTAGGTCACTAGTGCATTTATGATTTTTTTTAATAAAAAAGTTAGGGTTAATGAGCAAAAGAAATTTTGAATTTTTGCTCGTAAAGCATTTTGAATTTTAAATTTTTAAAATATGTAAAATAAATTTTAAATTTTTAAATTTGTAGGAAATTAAATTTTATCATTATTTTTTTTAATGTCGTTATTGTTTATTGTGGGTCTTAGTTAATTAGCGTCACAAACTTTAAATTATTATCTAATAACATTTTGGATCTTGAATTTTAAAATTATGAGTAAATTATTTTCATTATTTATATATAGAATATTGATTATTATGTAGATCAAATTAGGTTTAGCGTAGTTCGCCACGGTGAATTCATTATTAGTCATTTAAATGACCCATAATTTTGTGAAATGACTTTTTTTGTCATTTTCTGCAATGTTTTTCAAACGATTGATATTTCATATTTTCGTATACTTTATAACTCTAATTTAGTTTTATATTAAATAATGTTTATTTATTTAATGGTGAAAACTTGGGATCTCATTGAAAAAAAATTAAATATCAAAGAATTTTAATTAACCAAGTATTTTGGATTTTAAATTCGTTGACGAAATCATCAACTTTCACATTCATCTTTTGTAAAATTCTATGATACTTAAACTTTTTTTCAAATGAGATTCTAAGTTTTCACCACTAAATAAATAAACATTATTCAATATAAAACTAAACTAGAGTTATAGAGTATACGAAAGTATGAAATACCAATCGTTTGGAAATTATTGCAAAAAAGGAGTAAAAAATGTCATTTCACAAAATTATGAATTGTTTGCCATGACCAACAATGCATTTACCGCAGCGAATCACGTTAAGGCTAATTTGATCTATATAATAGTTAACATTTTATACATAAATGGTGGGGATAATTTGCTCGAAATTTTAAAGTTCAGGGTCTAGGATACTGCTATTCGCGCAATAGTTTAGGGTTTATAGTGCTAATTAACTGGGGCTCATGATGAACAATAACGGTGTTAAAAAAATATAGCAGTAGGGTTTAATTTGCTACGAATTTAAAATTTTAGGATTTATTTTATACATTTTAAGAGTTAAAGGTCATGGCACTTTTTGAGCAAGAGTTTAAGGTCTATTTTGCTCATTAATCTAAAAAGTAATAATATTTTATAAATTATAAATAATATATATACTGGTTGGCTATATATAATATATATAATTTACTATAAGTTCTATATTTCACTCAATTTTAATCACATACATTAAAAAATTGAGTAGTTATCTATATACACACACCCATGTAGAAGATATTTATTTCTTCATTCTTTTCATGCTTAGTAACTTTTCTAAGTAGAATCTTGTCAATCAAACTACTAACATAATGCAGGGACTAAGTTGTATCAAATAAAAAAAATTATAAAGATCAAGTTAAGAAACTTTAAAAACTGAGCTATTTAAATTTAAAGTTCAAGGACTGGATCAATATTTAAGAAAAATATTTAAAGAATAATTAAGAATTACATTTTCCCTTTCTTTTTATAGCATACCAAATGATGGACATATGTATGTAGCCATATATGTTCTAGCTAGCGAAATAATTTTATTAAAGTAAGTGGAATATTAAACTGAGAGAAATTAAGAATGAGTTGTGAATATAGAAACCCAAACACATTTGATAGGTGGAAAAGTATTTTCTAAAAAAAAAAAGAGGCTTGCAACCTATTCCATTTCTTTCTAGATGCATTCATCATTTCCTTTCTAAAAGATTTTTTTTTTCATATATACCGATCATCCACATTAATTTTCTACCTTCTCATATATCTTAGGCTCATTAATTATTATATCTAGTTATAAATAATATATTGTTCTCTCCTGTCTCAATTTTACAGTTATATATGTTTCAATTCTTGTGGAGGGATTTTCTCTTGATACATGAAGGTACAGGATGAGGATAAAAGAGATATTTTGGCAAGTCGTACATGATATGTGAGACTATGAACCTTTCTTAAAGCCGGTAATTTAAATTAAGATTAACGAGTCACCTCGAACTTAACTGAAAAAATTTAAGATTGAACTTGAAAAATAATATTTTTTAATATTCAGGCCTATTGCTAAAAGAAATTTGGACCAAATCTGATCAGGTTCGGGCTAGATTCGAATACCTGAATAAAAAATAATATTTTTTAAAATATAAAATAATAAATATTAATTAATTTTTTTTAATTTTATATCATTTTGTACTAAATGCATTATTATAGTTATTTTTTAAAAAAAATTAATATTTTTATATTTTTATTATTTTTAATTAATAAAATATCTCAAAATAATATTTAAAATATATTTTAATATTAATTTTTATCTTTTAAGACCCACTTTAATTTTAAAATTTTTGAGTCCTATACATCATTTGAGACTTGAATATCTAAAAAAAATATTTTATATTTTTTATAAAATAAGATAATTAATTTTAAAGTAAAAAATTAAATTAAAAGTAATTTTAAAAATAAACTTTGGATATGTATGAATTTTCAGCTCTATTACTAGATAAATATAATAAATAAAATAATATCTTTGAATAATTATTTAGTTATCGTCTGCACCAGACTTAGTTAAAAATTAAAAATAAATTAGAGTAAATACTCCTTGTATGTAAGGATTAAATGATATAAAAAATTAATGGAAAAAATAATTAAAAAAATAATATTTTATTCATAATTAAATGATTTTGTTTTATATAATATAATGATAACTATTTTTTCTCATATTTTCAAAAATAAAAAGTACAGTTTATTCAAAAGTTATTGAAAACTTTGAACTAATTGGGGTAGTATTTTAAGTTAGTGGCCTAATTGTGATTGAATTGAGGTCAACTTTATCATAATTAAAATATATAAAATATTTATATATGACCATAATAAGAATAATATTTAAACAACTCAAACATTAATTTACAAATAAAGAAAATATTCATGAATAAATTACATATAATATAACAAAACAATAGCAGAGTTACTTAAGTATAAAGTTGATAAGTTATTATTTTTTTCTTTTATTTTTTTAAAAGTTAAAACAATATTTTATGCTTAACAGAGTAACTTAAAAATTAAATTGGTTCCAAAAATAGAAAAAAAAATTAAAATTTTTTGGGTATTTTGGCTGGCCCAAATAACCCGAAAAGTGTTAGGATCAAGCTTGATTATATAAGCTTTTTATATAAAATAGGATACTTTAAGTTCTGCCTGAATTAAGCTTGACCTGATTAAATCAACTTGCCTGAATTATTGGCTCTAACCTTTCTCTTTTTTCTCCTTATCTAGACAATGGGTACGTTGAGAGGCAATCAAACCCTCCTATATATACATATAGGAAAATCGCATCTAAGAACTGTTGCATTGCAAAAATGGAGCAAACAATTTTGAATTTACTCTGCAACTCTTGGATCTAATATGAAAGAGAAAAGATGAAAATAACCATTGTAAGCGGAAAGGAGATGCAATCCGTAGTGATACGAATGTGTAGACTTGTTATTTTCCACACCCTTGCTTGTTAAACATAATTGTTGCTTTTTCTCTGAATGGTTACACCTTCCTCTAACAAACTGGTTCGAATGCATAGACTTGTTATTTTATTTCCACACCCAAAACATAATGGTTACTTGCTTTATTTTGGAATGGATGCTTGTTAAAAAGATACCCTCGCTTGTTGTTTATCTCTAATTAACATAATGATTCAAAGGCTTAGACTTGTTATTTTCCATACACTTGCTTGTTAAGACATAATGGTTATTTTCTTTTCTTTCTTTTTTTCCCAAATGGTTCCTTCAACTATATTTCCTTTCTACTTACAAAGGTTACTTTTGTCTTTTCTCTTTTAGTCTTATTTGCATACTCTTTCCATTAAAAAATGTAATGTATTTTTAAGTAGTTGGATGTTCAAAAATATAAAATATTTTTAATATTTCAAGATGTAATCATAAAGTTTTCTTTTTAAAAGTGCCTATCATAAATAAATCACTCTATTAAATATGAAAAAAATATAAAAAGAATGTATTAATTTGAAAATAAATAACTATTTTATTGATGAGTAACATTCGATTGAAAATGTCTTATATTTTTGAACGGAAGAAGTATTTAAAAAATAGATTAAAACATAAGTTTCCTAGTATATATGGAACCAGAAAGGATAGTTCAAATAATGATGCCATTCCTAAATATACTAAAATTATAAATATTAGAAGTTGAGATGGTAAATGAACGAAAAATACTTGAAAAAAAATTATTTACCACAATTATCTTTGCCCATGCTTTTTTACATCCAAAAATTTCTTTGACTTTACTGAGCCTTCTATTATAAACTAATAAAACGAAAAAAATGTATCAAAGGTATTGGCCAATGTAAAAAAAAAAAAAACAAATCTAAGATAAATACGTAGTTGCTTGAAAGAACAAGGGGCTAATGGGTTGTCATATCTCTCGATGTAAGTGGCATATATGAGACTTCCAAATGTCAAATAAAATGTAATTTCACGATTTTGATTTTTGAAAATTTATGATCTTTTAACTTGCAGGGGTTCTAGAAAGATGAAGCATTTTTGACATAGTGCAACCAATAATTTTTTTTATCAAAATAATTTATTATATTATAGAAAAGGTCATAGTCCCCTAATGGACTTGTTAACAATATTGCATGAACAGAGTCTAAATAATTGTGTTTTACTTTATTTCTTGAAACCCATACATAGTCCAACAAGATGATTAAAAAATAATAATAACAAGACTTGCTTTTTTTTTAAAAAAAA